AGTTGCCCTCAGCTTTGATGCCGTCTCTGGTCTCATCAAATCAAAGTCCAGGAACTAGTCCTGGGAAAGGTCTTGGTTCTAGTTCAGCTAGACCAAACATGACGGACCAGGGGAGTCCTAGTCTTGTAAAAAGTCCTGGTTTCAGTTCAGTTGCACCAAAGAAGGAAGACCAGAGAGATCCTAGTCCTAGAAAAAGTTTTAGTTCTGGTTCATCAGGTCCAAACAAGTCGAAGCAGAGGAGTCCTAGTTCTTCACAAGGTAAAGAACTTTTGCACTTGTTGACACAATTCCTGAGATCTCAATAAAACAGTTTGTGGTTTCTTTGGTCAAACATCAGTTTAAAGCTTTTTTTTTAAATTGAAACTAGTTTTTACAAACTAAATATCGTCTACGTCTGTTTTGAGATTGAAACAGAGAAGCACACACAACTGTTTACCTGAAATACGTCTTCAAAGTCTGACAAACGTTAATCGTTTTAACTTCCTGGTATTTTTTTCAGGCTTCTTGGATCCTTTCGCTTCTTCCAGCCCAAAACCTAAAATTCCAGTGATCTCAAAAATGATGGACGGATCCCCTCAACAGTCGTCAGAATCTATTGTTCAAATAACAAGCCCGAACAGTTCATCCCAGAATACCGGTCTGACTCGAGGTCTCACCTTCGAAAAGAACTGTTTTCAGTTGACCAAGAACAAAACCGGACCAGCAGAAGGTCTGGAAGAATCCCACCGGACCGTGACTGACGATGACGAGTGTTCGCCTGGAGCTCACGGGAGGAAATCAAGTGTCCTGAGCAAACCGGATCACTTGGGAGAAGCAGGTATCCCGATGTCAGGAGCAAGAAGTGCAAAAGGGGAGAAGAAGAAGAAGCAAGTGAATAGAAATAAGAGGAATGGACTAAGGAAGTCTTCATCATCTTTTTGTTGTCTTCCTCCTTCATCCACTCATTCACCCGTCTCCAGGATGGTCAGGGAGACCGCGACCATGACTGAGCTGTTTGAGAGGATCCGACCTGGTCCAGGGGAGCAGAAGGACGTGGGTGTTCAGGTGGAGGTTGAGGTGAACGAACGCTCGGCCTCCACAAGCCCCAGCCTCCACCAGGGAGATCCCAACTCCTCTCTGATTTGTTCCCCCAGCTGTCAATCACTGAACTGTGTCCCGCCCCTTAAACACGTCTGTGAGATCAACATGGAACTGTGTCACCAAACTCCGCCCCCCTATGTCGTCCCCGTATGTTTAGGTACGTGCAGTTTACAGCAGAGCCCCACCCCTTTATCAAAGCAAGACGTGGACGTCAAGAGCATCCCTGAAGACGAGGACAAGAGACGGCATGGGAAGAAAGAAGACGTAAAGATGGAGAAGCCTCAGGAGGTGGCGTGGGACAAGCAGGGGATGACGTGGGAGGTGTACGGCGCCTCGGTAGAACCGGAGTCTCTGGGAAAAGCCATCCAGTCCCACGTGGAGTCAAAGGTTCGTGAGCAGGAGAAACGCATCCGGACTCGGAGGAGGCCCGTCTGCTCCAACAGCAGCCGCAGAAGAGTCAAGAAGAAACGGGGAAATTTTCTGTGTTGCTGTGTGAAGACGTCCAGCGTTTCAGACTGAGATCAACCCAGAGAGGACATTTGAACGTTGTCCCCCAGAGACAACGACAAACCCAGAGACTTATTGTCCCTTAGAGACAACTTTAAAATGTCCTCAGAGCACAGAGACATAACCAAGAGTCTAAAACACTTCGTATTTGTACAGTTTTAGTTGCACCTAATGCAAACCATAACCAATGAACACAAGCACTGCCTTTGACACAATCACCTGAAACCATTTGTCTGTTAGCAAAATATCTCATTAACCAGAAACAGAAAGGATTCACTGGATGTACATTTAAAACCTGCTTTAAGATGGCCGCCACAGCCAGTCGAGCTCAGCTAACACTAACGTGGCAACAGCTCAGTCAGGTTTACAGATGTTGAGCTAAAATTTGGAATGGTAGTAGCTGAGAGTCATCCCCAACACACGAGGTACTCCAAGTGAGATCACATGGGTTTTAAGTTTTTAGAGCTTTGGTGTGCAGGTGGCAGGCAAGACACATTCCTTCGGTTCTGACTCTTTTCCAGGGTCTTGACCTGGGTCGACTGCACTGGTCCGGAGTCCTTCCTTTGGGGGACTCCACCCACATCCAGCTCAGTTTCTAGAACCTACTTGGCCGCCGTTTGAAGCGAGTCAAGTCGAGCTGAAGGTTTGACGTCCGCAGACTGCAGGGCACCGACCAGAGAGAGAGACACGTCAGTCATGAGCGTCTCCTTCACAAGAACGACTTTAAAACCTCCCAACCGCAGCGTTCACTTTGATTTACTTTTAGAATATACACAACACTGGTACCACGAGGAGGTGAAGATGTTTCCATGCTTACTGGTTGGTGACAGAATTCAGACGGAGTTGGACCAGATGGACAGATTTACATCTCTGACCAGTGAAGAGGAAGGTGACCTGGACTCGGCCGCGGCATTTCTGGAAACCGTGGCAGAAGATGGTGAGTGTTTAAATTCACTTCTTTGCCTCTTATTTGTTGGTCTTGTATAAAATCTTTGAGCGACCGCCTGTTGTGGTCCATATGTCTAGGAGGGACTCAGGACACAGCGCTGGCGTCTATAAAGGAAGGGGCCGGAGTGTGGAACCAACAACCACTGGACATCGACCACTCTGACTCCCATCGCTTGTCCAGTAGGCGGAGCTTGTTCCTGTTAAAGTCCCGTCAGCCAATCACGACTGAGAAGAGAGAACAGCGGAGACTCATTAACAAAAAGTTGGCACAGGGACATGTAGCGCCGCTCGGTGACTGTCCGGACCACATCGAGGCGGCGCTCAAGCTATACGCAAAACCACTGAGACCGTGTAGAACCGAGCGGAGTCCAAGTGGGTCCTGGTGAGACTGGACTGTGGAAAAATGATATTTTTTTGCTGGTTTTTCTTCTATCTGACCCAATTCTTGAGATTTATTTTAGTTTGGTAAAGGTCTACGTGGTGGTACTGGGGGGGTGTCTTCAAACCGACTCTGCTGGTAAGTTCCATGTTGGGTTTGTGGGCGACGCCATCGTCACGTTTAAAACTGGTGTTCGAAATGAAAAATAGTTGAGTTTGGGTAGAGATTGAAGACCGGTGGCCTTGATTTAGAGTAAAGTGGATTAAGTAGAAATGTTGGCAGCCCCCCCATGCCACCCTCCAGAACCGCCTCTGTAGATGTTGGCCTGATCTTTACAGGAAAATCCAACTTTTTTAAATGATATTCTGTATTTCTGTCTGGACTTGGAGTTTTAAGCTGTACGGAGCGAGCGTTACTCTTTTTATTTTTACACGGACACCAAATGAAACGGGGTCAGTTTTGTAGATTCAGGACGATTCTCTGGCGCGCACGTTTGGACGCCGCTCTCGTTTCTTTGTGCGTCGCTCCTCAAGAGACGGATCGTTCTGAAGCTTTGTCTTCAGCATCAACCGGGGTCGTTCTGAAGGTCGCGGTTGGATTTTAGCAGATTGAAAACACTTGAAACAAACAAACAAACAAACAAACAAACAAACGCTGAACAAAGAACTCCAGCTCCATCAGTCAGAGAGAAGATCGTTTTCTGATCATTTGTTCTTATATTTAGTTTCCATGTCACGTTTCTTTTTTCCTTTAATTTGTTCCTTTTTGTTTCTTTACTTTTTATTCTTTTCCTTTTGAGTCTAATTATTATTCTTATCTTTGTTTTGTCTTTAGAGTAAATAATTTCATATTTTTAAATCTCTTTCCATTCTCAACCCGTCGTCTTAATTTAAATGTTTTTCATTTATTTAGTCCTTTTGTTTCTCTTGTTTTTATTGTTCTTGACCTTTCTCTGTATTTTTCCTGATTAATTTGTTGTTTCCTGCTTCTCTCGTCAGTTTTGGTCAGATTTAGTTTTTCTCTGTTATTTTCTCGTAACAGCACAAACAAACGTCGGGTTTAAAACATTTGAACAGTTTTATTCTCATTTTTGCGTCTTGGCTTCTCTCTCCTGCTGACGGCCGCTGAATAATTCAGAACCATTAAAGTCGATTCAACAACAGAAACTCAGTGATGTTTTATTCAGACGGTCCAGATGTAAAAACACGTCTTTATTAAAACATGACTTTAAACCTCTCAGCTTATTTTAATTGTTATATAATCCACTCTCTTTCGTTAACATCTGAAGCTTTAAAGATAAAGATTTAAACATTTCTTGTTTTTCCTTCATGAAAATGACTTAAAAAGACAAAAAAGAACAATAAACTAAGCCACTAAATATTTATAGTATGCGTTACTTTATACCACAATGTTAATATGATTTATTACAATATTTATCACAAGTCGTCCTGAAGAAAAACAGAAAAGTAATTTTTCTTAGCAATGTCGAATTATGATTTAAAACTTTTATTGCACAAAATGTGCTAAATGGCAACTTCTGTTAATATATTTTATCACAACTTTACATTTATTTACCTAAACAAAGTTTTATTTCTTGTAAATAAATTAGTATTGCCTTGAAGTCATCTTGTTTTGTTAAATTTTTATTCTTTACAAAAAACATTTTGCATTAATTGTTCTTGTTACTTTATCTTGTGTGTTTTATTATTAAATATATTTACTATGATGATCGTTTTATTATTTTTATTTACTTGTGCTGTAATTTTCACCTTGAAATTCTGTTAAAAGTTACGATAAATTACATAAATGTTTTTAAACTTTCTAAGTATTAGCTTATTAATAACCCCAATAAACATTTAAATGCTCTTTAATTTAAGTAATCCACGCTGTTTGTTTAATTTCTGTGGTTATTAAAGTAAGGAAAGTGTTTAGGAACTGGATTCGGACCCTCTTGGCAGGAGATCCAGATCCGCCTCTACACCAGCAGGTCAGTGATGACGTCAGGACTTGTCGCGCTCTGATTGGTCAGCTGCAGCTCCTTTTTAAACTCCCCCCCCTGCTGGACTCTGAGCTCAACAGCCGGAGCGCGAGCGCGACCGAACGGCTCGAGGCCGCTGCTGGAAACCTGTTGCCAAGGAAACCGTAAGGGGCGGGAAAATCACCTCAAGAAAAGTACGTTTTTTTTTTAAAGCCGCCTTTTTGGTGTTTCTACTTTTAATTATTTAATCTAAAAACTTTTTTTATTGTTCATTTTATTAAAAAAAATACTAGAGATTAAAAACGCAAATAAAATAATCAAAATATATTTTATTTAAAATTTTTTAGAGCCAATCACTGATTTTCAAACACTCAATCGTACTGTTATTTGTTCGGTTTCTCCTTTTTTATATTTTTCCTGTTTAATCAAACATTTAATTTCTGCTCTCAACAGAAGTTCTGCTCATCAATGGAAAATATATTTTAAATTATTACAATTTGTCAAGATAACTAATTTTTAATGTATAAATTATGGATCTTTCATGTAGAATTTATTTATTGCAGTCAATAAATAAAATTATTTTGATATCTGTTTAATGTAAATTGTTTTATGGGTTTTCAAAAAGTCCAAATGTTATATTTTAGAGTTGAGCTTGCAGCCTTCACAGAACAAGTTAATTTTAATGTTTTCAAACGTTTCAATTATTGGAGAGGAGAATGAATCGAGGTGAACGGAACGCTAAAGCTAGTTTGTTGTAAATGTACGTATTCTACATGTTTTCTGGGTTTTATTACTCGAGCATGTTGTGGTCACGTGTGTTTTGTTGTGCACCAGGTGAAGGTCACACTGTGGAGAAACTTCTTGCGTATGAAGCTGAGCGAGTTTCAGATCAGGTGATGCTGATCCAACAACTTTCTTTACTCCGGTGGTCCAACCCTCTAGAAATGGGTGACACGCTACATATGTGACCATTTTTACTGAAACAGTTTTATGTATTTATGTTTATTTCCTTGGGAGCTGCTGATCAGACTATTTATAGAACCTGACCTGCTTCCAACGGATCGGAAAGGAAGTCGCAGAGTTGCAGGACTATTTGTAGACACACAAACTAAAGGAGTGATGCAAACTGGCAACGTGGAACGTGATCCTTGTTCATGTCAAGTCTTCAATGGCTCAGCACCTCGATCTAACTCCGTTTGGTCTAAAACAGCAGTTCATCTTTAAAAACAAACATTCAAAACCAGTAAAGCTTGGCTGGATTTTTGTTGATCACGTGCAGGATATTGCATCTTTCAAGTGTCTCCCGCTGGTATCAAACGTAACGTGCACCAAAACGTTTCAAGCAACTGGTTATTGTTGT